AACATCCAGCCGGGCCACCATGTGCCTCGCTCGATTGAGCTGGTATTCAACACAGATCACGCCTTGGCCCAGAGCCGCAGCCAAGGCCAGGTCCAGTTCACTGACGCCGCAGCCTCCTTACACCCGTTGACTCCACCTCAGTTGTTCTATCACGGCGGCGCGGACTCGGCATTGTACCCTCCCTCTTCACAGATGATATCCACAGCCATGACGCCACATCAACCTTCTACGGGGCAGTACATTGCCGTGGCACAAGAAGCCGAGTCGGTTGTGAACCCGGCAGCAGCGGGCTTCCACGGCATGCAGCAGGTGTCGAGCATTCCCGGCGCCATGGACATCGATATGAACAGCGACAGCAGCAACGCCAGGCGTGGCAACTGGATGGGTGGCTATGAGAACATGGGCATTCACAATTCACTACCGGCAGATGGCTATGGCATGAGCAACCCGGTAACCCCGGAGCACAGCCATATGGCCGGCCGGTATGGTTCACCGGCAAGATCACTGTGAAGAGGAAGCCGCAAAGGCCAACAGCCTGGGAGGCAAAGGGGGAAAACTCGGCTGCTGTCGGTTTGCTGGCCGGCCTTTACTTCGGCCCAATGGCCGTATAAGTCGGGGCATCTGGGACCGACGCGTCTCCACCATGCATCCGGGAGCACTTGATGAGTGCCTTGGACAGGACGGGGTTGCAATCCCAGATATGGCATCTCGGGAGCGCATGCACGCTGTCTGCGGTCAATGGTATTGGATGCAGTCGAGCAATTCCAGGGGGAGGGGGCGGGGGGACGTTTGATTCATGACACCCACGTAACGGCTTATGGGAAAGATGAGCAGCGGATGTGATGCAGCGCCTGACTATCGGAGGCGTCATGGCGTTCAGTGCCTATACTACTACTACTTGCGGAGAATTTTAAACTTAGAGTGGCGTCGGATTTGATACCCTATCAAGGGAGGAGGATATGATGACGAGAACAAGTGGATGGATGGGAGGCGAACTTGCATGGAGAAGGAAGGCGACCAAGGGAATACCAGATTAGTAAAATGCAGTCTACCAGCGCCTTTTTGGCTTGACCTTGTGTTCCCACCGCCAGCCATCAATGCGATGAAGCTTCCTCCACATGGGCCATTCTGCCAGAACTGCCACTCCTTTAGCCGGGAGGCGACAGACAGACAGACTGTCTAGATGGATGCAGCGATGGCGGCTATTTCCGCCGCAGCCGCCCATCTCCTGGCCCCCGTTGCCAATCATTACAGCACGATTGCGTCGTCAAGATCAGCAATACGAGTCATCAATGTCGAGAAAGTGGAACAAGCAGGAATCATTCACTCTGGTGGCGTTCAATGTTGGCCCTACTCCCTTCTGCGGCTCTCCCCCCGCCCTCTCGCCGCGCTGACAGATTTAATGGAAACCGCGTAGATTTCCTTGGCAGGCAACCTTGCCGAGATTAACGACGGCCAAGACTGCACATGCAGACCAAGAACACTTTGACGCTTCTTCTCCCGAAAAGGGGGGAGGAAACTAGTAACTGGCCCCTTTGAGCCACATCACAGCCCGGGGGTGGTTGGCGGACCGACCAGGGGAGAGAGCTCAATGTTGCAAGGCCACACGTACGGAGTACGGAGTACACATATCAATTGATCCCTTTTCGAGTGACCACTGCGACTGCAGCTGCGGCTGTCTGGCACAGACAACAGCAGACTAGAGCAGCACGCCCAGCGTTGAAAAGAATTTAAAGGCAAAAAGAAAAAGTCCCCTTCTGTCGGTCCGGGCACAGCTGGGCCCTACGAAAAAAGGATCAATTGATGCATGTGTGAGGTTGGTGCGGCTGCCGGCTTCCGCGGTGGAGTCCGGGGACCTCGGGGCAGAAAAAAAAGGGTAAATGTTTATGCACATCACTCTGCCTGGCGCCCTCATGGCGGAAAGGGCGCGCTGAGAAGAAGGCTGTCCATGTCTGTCTGTGACATTTCCGACCAGCATTCAATTCCATTACAGAGTATAGATAGGCCCATCAATCCGACGGCTGCCCGCCGGCCAGCGGCCAGCCCCAACCAATTGACCCCAGTGCCCCTTTGCCACGCACGCTCTGTCGAAACGCGGCTCGAGTATTATCCAGATGTCGTGTGCGTCTTTGCGGGAAGGACATGGTCAGCATCTGACCTCGCGCTGGCTCAGCCCTCCTCGCCGGCTGGTGCCAGCCGCAGATGGTGAAGTGCAGGGCGTTTCGGCCGTGGCAACCTGCGCCAATGACTGGCGGCCCACGGAGGGATGGTGGTTTCAATCGTCTTCTGTGCTCCTTGCTTCCCGGGAGGTTTTCGAGGCGGCATTGTTTTTTTTGACAACCTTCTTACCGAGTACACCCTCGCATGTGTCGTGCCACCAGAGCGGCCTGGCTGTTTTGAAACGCACATTGAACATTGAAGCTCGTCGTGGCGCTGCGAACCCGTCGGAACATTTACATGCATCCAGAAGTCGTGTCCCAGCCACCAGACCCCCGTGCAGCCATCAATCAATTGATCCATCCATCAGTGCTCCCCGTAGCTGCGACTTATTTTTGGCCTGGCGTGACAGCCGCCTGCCTTTAGTCGTGGGAATGTCGGCCCGCGTACCGCTACTCCGTACGTACTTGGGACCTCTGTCGGCAGATTATACCTGATCTGGACAGGAGCACGTCTGTGCGAACTGATAGACTGTTGTATTCTGGGGATGGGACACTAGCGTAGATGAACATTGAAGTCTGGGTCCCGGACTCGGACGAGTCGATGCAGCAATAGATGGTTTGGGACCTTGCCTTGTGCCATGTGGCTGGCTCCTCCTCCAGGACCGACATGTGCCTGCGCAGCTCAGCCGCCTCGTGTAATGCATCATGGCAGGGACGCGAAACGACGAGGGACAAACGGTCATGGCGCATGTTTCATGTCTCTATTGAGTGAGATGCAAAAAATAATAGAGAATAATACTCATAAATTAAAAGGCAGCACAGGCTCAAACACCCACCATCGCCACCGTCACCGGCCAACCGACCAGAGAGTTTGCATGTCGTGCCCGATATTTGCCTCGTTTGCCCTACAAGCTTGCCCTCAGGGCTGGCTGATGATAAAGACGCCAGGCGTCAACTGCATGTGGTGGCACCGGAATCCACAGGGGCGCAAAGGGCGCTCAATGTTTGCGCCTGCTGGAACTTGCCACCAGAACAGCCTTCATCTCCACCCAGCGCCATTCGCACGTGCATGAGGAATCAATTGGTCAACCAGCCCAGCCTATTGCACCCAATTGACCTGTTCTAGATTCTTCCAGCAATCACAGTCGACATTGAACGCACTTGGACAATCCTTCCCGAGCAGAATGTTGCCGGAACTCGGACATGGAGCCTCTTGTCAAGCCACCAGACCTGCTTGTTCCCACCGACCCAGCCGGCCATTTTTGCTGCTTTTGTATTCAATGGTAGACACTCTCTGCAAGCCATGCCGTCGAGTCACTTGTTCGGACGGCATTCTCGGCAGTTGTCGCCTTGTTGTCAGAGGATATTGACATTTCCACACTTGGTCAACCGCCTCGGTGTGAGGCGGATGCCGTGACTCGTGAGAATTGCCGTTTCTGATCGCTCTCGACACTGCCTGCGGCTGCTGTGTTGACATCCATCATATCAAGTTTCTTCCAAGCGTCACTTGAGACGTGTCTGCCCACAGAAGAAGGTTCTTTTCTTCAATGGGGAAATTTCTCGTGCTAATCCCTGGCAACCTCCCCGGGTACCTCGCATCAACAGCCGCTCTCAACACCATCCTGCTCAGCCAACCACAAAGACACCAGGAAAAACTCATGCCGAGTACAAGCTGAATACTCTCTGACTGATACGGGTTCCTCACGGGGGGAGTCGCACTTGACACGGCTGTGCACTTGTCTGTGTCATGAATCATGATTCGCCCGCTGCGGCTATGAACGCATCCCACCAGACGTGTTTTCAGCTGCTGGCCGCTGCTTATGAAGCCGTTGATCCTTGCGCAGCAATACGCTCCCTCTGCTTCTGCCGCAGCTGGGATCTCGGTGGGAAGCCTCATCAACAAACACGCTTCGAGGTCGCTTTTAGATACGGTCAATCGCTCTTGATGGGCCGGCGCCATCTTGCAAGCTGCTGAGAAACCCTCTGCATGGCAAGCCACCATTACATCAAAGACAAATTGTACTAAGCCTGCTGTGTTCCCTTCATACCGAGGGACAATGTAGGATAAATGAGATGAACTATGGTTGTATTCTGGAACGGCCATCATAACAGACTCCAAAGTTACACCTTCACACGGAGCAGGCCGGGGTCGAATCCAGGCGCTCAGCAGGAATCCTTCTGCAGCCAGGTTTCGGATTACCGCCTCTCTCTGCATGTGTGTGTGTGTGTGTGTTTCTCCTTTCTTCTCCCACCAAACGCGGGTGAGGAAGGGGCATGTTCCGTCTTCATGTATTCGTTTAATACGACGGAATACAGCGAGTTTGCAACGGCCAGCCTTCCCAGAACAACTCGTTCTGGCTCTAGCTGTCACCATTACCAGGTGGCAAATCTCACGTCATACAACGGAAGATGAAAAGTCTAGACCTTGAATAATAGATGAAAAAAAAAAAAGAACTGCCCCGGCTCAACCGACGACTGAAAACATCAACACGTACGAGGACTTGCGTCAGGTCCGATGCCTTGCTTCCGCGCCTTGAGTTCCTATCAGATGGCCGAGCAGAACTACAACGAGGTGTGTTTTGCCCTCCATTTGCACCTGGTGGTCCTGGTGGGTTTCTTTTTTGATCTATATGACTGCATGTGCTGAGTGCTTTGGCCAAGTTGTCATCTAGGCTCTGTGACGCGATACATACATATGCCGCACGCCCTGCACTGCCGGTACGAGATGACTGGAAAGGGGGTGAGGTGGAAGACAAGAAGAGTGCTTTGAGGAGCCCTCGAAACAGTGTACCAGTCCCTTCTTTTCTGCCTCAACAGCCAACCTTGGTTATCCCATGTGAGCTACTCCAAATCACGAGTATTCGCCAGTACACTGTCCTCCAGGCTGGTCCATCCCATGCGACCCATTTCCTTGAGCCAGTATTCTGCTTTCGCGGGCAGCTCGATATCACTCCGGTCCAACCTGGACGCCTCCATCTGCGGAGCGAATATCCTGTCGGGATACGGCTTCGCAAGGTCGTCTGGATGTCCCTCCAAGTATACGGCGCAGCGTAGGCAAAAATCCGCTCGTTTTCCATCCGAGGGTGAAGGAGAGCCGCCGCGTGCAGACGAGCAGTGTCTTGCACGTCGACGTAGAAATCTGTCATGAGAAATCGCGCTTGTCACTTCCTTGACCCCGGATAGCCTTCTCCTTAAACTAGACAACCTACACCGCGCAGCGCCACGAGTAGCCTCCATGTTTCCCAAGTAGATGGCCTCGATAGGCCCCGAAGTAGACGGGTGGACTTGATTCACCGGGTCAAGACTTGGTCCTATGCTCATGCCCGGGAGAACTAAGCCGTCTTCTTGTCAGCCATGACGCTGCCGTCCAAAGATTGTAAGTAAAACAAGGGCAGTAGGCATTCTCAACTCGCCCGTGTTTAAGGCGAACCCGGGCTGCTGCTCGCTGTACCACCGCCACAGCTGCCTCTCTCACTGCGTCTTGCTAGCCGCGTACGTGTGTTATTATGTATATGTAGACGGAGAATCCTCACTCGTGGTGCATGGCGGAGGCCCCCAAGCCTGAGCAACCGCCTCGTCGTTCCAAGCGTCAACTCCTTTCCGACGCACCGCCATATTCCGGGCGTCGGGCTTGCCGCCGCCGCACAGGAGGAAGTGAGTACAAATCTCTTGATATCAGCACGCTCGGCGGCAGACCTAGCCAGGACCATGGCGGCCATTATCATGGGCGGAATCGCCTCGTTCGGGTCACAGTCAAACGTCACGTCAGAGGCCGCATGGACAATGCCCGGGATGCCTGGATTCGCGTCATGAGCCCCGGCGCCTTGTTACGGTTCCCAGATGGCACAGCTTGCTCCAAGGGTGTCTTGCTGGGGACAAAAGAAAGAAAGAAAGAGTAAGCAGCATACATTGGAGGGCAGAAAGGGGCCCTTGCTGTGCTATATCGGGAACGGAAACCAGCTCGAGTATCCCATGGCCGTATTTTGCGCTCAAACAAGGCCACGATCTACGCGGTCTTGTCGACGGCCCGTGTCGTTCAGCCTCGAACCTTGTATCCCGTGCTGAGGAGCTGATCTGCTACATGGCTGCCAACAAACCCACTGGCTCCAGTGACAAGAATCGTCAATACTGCCGGGATGCAGAACAGGGTCTTGGGATGCAAACATGTCGCTTGGCGCGGGTTTTCAATACTACTCTCTTATTTGAGAAGTTTATATTGGCTGATTGGTGAGTGGTTAGTGGTGGATGTATAGCACCCACGATGTTTACGTCAAGGGATGGGACTGTTTCGCAAGTTATATATATATATATAGTTGTTCATATTCTACCACCTGTATTACAGTTGAATCTCTTTTTTTTTTTGATAGAATAGGAAACGGCATTTCTAATCAGCATGCTTCCTTCGAGGGCAGCACGACCTACGTGTTGCTGATTAATGAGAGACCAGCAACTGTTGCTCTTGATGTAGCGCTACTACATGCTTGGTTGTGTAAAAATCAGAACCAATGCTAGTCATTTATCGAGATGCCGCATGTAAAATTGCTTTCAATGTTCGATGTGCGTGTGGACAGTTACGCCAACCTCTTGTTGGTCACGTTGCAAGCAATTACCCGAGTGCGACAAGGAAAGTCGACTTGCATCATGGTGCGAATTTTCAAGGGTCCGACTCGCCCGAATCATGACGGAATACAAGTTCAAATATTTGTTTGAGGGGTGTTGTCCCCTTGGACGGGCCTCAAGTGCTCCTATAAACCACTGCTGGAGTAGCCACCCTAGACCCAAGGCCGGCGCTGGGTCAATCTTTGTACGGCGATGCATTGCAAAGGGGGTAAGCAATCAATGTGCATGGCAGCAGCGCATTAAGCTCATTAGCGTCATCACGCCCAGTCTTGAATGATACAAACAGCAGAAAAACAAAGGCAATGAGCCAATCTCATTGGTGACCTCCCCCTCCCTCTCCTCCCTTACCACCGGCAGGTTGGGAGATGTCAATACAAATAAGCTGCCACACCATCGAATGGCTCTAGAGCGAAGCAGGTTGGCGTTTACGAGTCGGGTTGTCCACGTTGGTTGCCGCGAGACATTTGTAGACATGGAGAAAACGAGCGCGTCACATGCAATGTTTCATTGACATGCTGCGTGGCTTGGGAAATGAGCAGCGCGGAGCACTCCAAGCATCCGAACTTGCGTTCACACATGGCTGGGCTTCCAGAAAATGTATGACGGAGCCACGTGGCGACGCTTGGGTTTATTTGATCGGTCTGCCTGATAACGTGCATTAAACTCCGTTCTCAATGGGGTACCGTGCTCCGGTTTGACGCGCTGCCGCATGTCGGGGACTGCAAGGGGCGAAACAATGCAGGTACGACGAGGACACTCACCTTCTTGACCTTAATGCACACTCTGGCACGATCTGTCCAGTCTAATTCGGACAAGTCTCGAGGAACCGAACCGAGTTGCCATAATCTTGGAACCATCTCATCACCTCATCACCTCATCACCCAAGGCGCTCGGCTCGGTTCCACTGACGCGGACAAAATACCAATATCACGCAACCAACGGAATACATCTATAATTAGAATACAAGTTTATCGTCGTTACGGAGTAGAGATGACAACACATACGCAGATGGCGGGGGCTGCCGAGCTCCCGCCTGGCATACGGAGCACATAGATCACTCATGAATATTGATTACAGCCGCGGTGATGACTGAGTCGGAGAGTGAATGTTGCATATCAACTGACGGTGTCCTTTCCTTCAACAACAAGATGCTTCCCGTCATCTGTCAGCAGCCATTTTTCATCCCGTTCGGCATTGTGGACGGTGCCTCAGCTGGCTTGGCTTCCAATTGGCGATGCCTCCTGCTGCATCGAATTACTATGTGTTGGAGGCCGAGAAGGAATACAGAGAACCTGCAGAGACTGCATAGACTGCATAGACTTGGCTGACAAGTGGCTCTTGTCGGACTGGGATTTTGCAGGAAAAGTGCTCTCTGCCCCGGCAACCTGCCACTCGTCATCACGCCGCACCCCTGCATGTCGTGACGCGACTGATAGAACGGCGTTGCCGATGCCAGACTAGGGCTGCCGTTTTCTAGAAGAACGGAACGGGGCCCATGGAGCATAGTGTCCGGCAACTCAAATCATGACAGCAGCGGGCACTCAGTACCTCACGTACCTAGGTACTTAGGTAGCTATTATGTACTTCCGTACAGAGTAGCGACGTCCAAATTCGTCAATGGAGCTGCTTCTGCTGGAAAGTGCCGTCACGCGGATTGACGGGCACCCTGGCTTGGCCATTGGCGGAAAATGCTGTTCATAGTAGTACAATCATGCCGCGTTGCATTTCCCCCTCATCTTTCGTTTCGCATATTATAATGCCACGGTAATATGGAGTGAGGCTGTGGGAGCGAAAATGGGTTCATCGACAGCCAAGCGTCAGCAGCGTACACGAACGGCGTATGGGAGGAGACCGGGTTCTTCTTTCTGTTGCCAGTTATTGATTCCTGTTCTAGCATGCTCAATCAAACCCACCACCCCCATGCCGGTGGTGTGGCAGATAAGAACTCAAGTCCCATTGTAAATGGGGACCAGACATCGATAGAACCCCTCGCTTGGCCATGTTCCGTATCGACTGTTTTGCTGAGTACGGAGGACGGAGCAGGTGCTGAATGGGTTTCCCTGGCAGTTCATGACTCCATCGTATTGTACGGAGTACATCCGGATTGAACGGTAGTTGTGTTTCTAAACCATGCGAGCCCGCATTTGTCTCGCCATCATTTCACCATCACACACAGTGACTCGCATTGCCGACCCAATACGATGACTCACTCTCTGGAGAGCACCTGGAGAGCATTAGATAATTGTGAGATAATAACTTGTAGTGTCGCAGCGCATACTTTGTTCCTCGTCGTCTTTCAACGACAAGATGAGGGTGTCCGAATTGTGGGACAGAATCTATGTATGCATGTCGTCCCATTTTTGATGCAGGTGTATCTACTCCGTATTCAAGACGGTTGGTTGCTTTCTGACCTGGTTTGATGTACACCCCGGACTCTTTGATGCGGTGCGAAGGCAGAGCACAGCCAGAATGCAAAGTGACATATCCTTAATATGTGTGCACTCTTTCAGGGCGAATTCGACACGTCTTCGGCCTGTTGAGGTAGAATGCAATTTTAGCATGAGAGTGTTTGTGCAGTAAAGTTTGCAAGGAATCAAGTTGTCTGAACTACCTGCCTCAGGTAATTTAACCCTGCCCCGACACTACCATCGACTGCGACGTTGACGAAAGAGACGATGCAACGGTGTGCGTCCCCATTCCCGTTGTTAGTCGCTCTGGTAAAGCGTGCGACCCGGGATATTGATCTGTGTGCATCTCTAGGAGTGAAGTGTCTGAAGTTTTCATTCGGCACAGAACATGGGATGCCAGACCCTGGTTGACGATTTGGACGATTTGGACGACTCGGATCCTACTACGGAGGATTGGATACCGGTAGTAATACGAAGTGCCTGCCCATAAATGAGATAGATAGATAGTCTGGTAATTAACCATTATTATTGTACTGGCATCGTTTGAACCCGAATCGATTCCTGCAGACTGTCTCGGCGAAGTTCACGCCTGACTGCCTGGTATCTGCGTGCGCATCTGCCTGGGCAAGGCAAGACCTGGGTACCTTTGGTAGGTACTCCGTAGGTCCCGACGTTGTCTCCTGCCTCCAATGCTTGCACCTGCCCAAATTCGTCTGCCCAATGATCGCCCGCTCCCTCTCATGTTTTTGTCTTAACCTCCCCTCTTCTGCGAGTTGGGGGCTGGAGACAACGAAACGACCACCATAATACTACCACCACCAAAAAGATTCAGGTTCCCGCAAGACAAAGGCCCGCATAATCGTAATTATCACTTCAAGACACCACGCAATCAACCATTCCAGCCGTGTCATGTTTGATGACCAACCGTCACTTCTGCTCTCGTCATTAACGCGACGGGGTCTGACAGCCCGTGGCTCCCGCCATCCCGCCATCCCTCCATTCCTCCTCTTCTAGAAAAACGGCAGAAGCACGAAGCGGCCAGCCCTGACAGGGGTGGGCATTCTTTTCTCCAATTTTTTGCCCAAAGGACTTTGCTAAAGAACGCCATGCACCACGCTGGGTTCGCTGCAGGGAGGGATCGACAAGGGTGGCTCACAGCTAATCTTACTTTGCCAGTCCAACGTGACCATACGACGACCCGAGACACCTCGTGGTTGGCTGTCGGCGACTCCAGACGGAGAAGAGCCAGGACCAATTTGGTGTGCAATACCGGTCGCTGGTCCATGCTTGTCG